CAGGAGCCTGAGCCCCAGGACGCGCCCTGACAAACCAGGTTTAAGGTGCACATGAAATGGGAGCTGAATGTGTTGTCACATCGAGCTTCTAAACAATTTAGTTATTGTGACATCTTCAGCTCTCTCCAGTTCCCTGGGACAGATCCCCCCCCTGATGTCGAGGAATTAGAGACCGACTTGCCATACAACTCAACTCCTGAGTTCACGAAATCAAACCAGATTGCATAGTTGTCCTTGGTAACTGACACGGTAGCTTTTGAAGCTGAGAATCCCAGCATGGCCCATAAACTGGACTCCTGGGGCCAGGGAAGATTTTCTACTCGGGTTCCCTTAAATATGTTGACGTAAATGTATCTGTTTCCACGCTTCCGGGGGCTTGGCAGTCTACCAGGAACTGCATACTTTTTCTGTCTCCATAGTTTTGTCTTGAGTCTTCTCTAGTAGTGAGCATATTATATTGGTGGCTGAGCTGGAATGTTGGTAAATCTTGCTGTGGATTTTGAAGGTAGCTGTGAGATTCCCAGATTGTGTGTAAGAATGACACTTTGGGTGGCTAAAAAATGAGTTTGTGTGGTCTCCTACTGCTGTGTTCTTCAGAAGGTGATTGTGATCTTCTGGGGGCTTTGTTTGTCCCTTTTCACCTATGCTTTGTGGCTTCTTTGGAAGCAAACATTCTGAGCTACAGCGTAGGTAAAGCAGATGGGTTGGAGACCTAAGCAACTCGGGGAGGAAGTCATCATAAGCAAGGCCTTTGCATGAAAATGTCAAGGATCAGTCATGTTAATAGGCACTTGCTCAGAATGGCATGGGTTCCTTTTTTCTTATTCCTGTTTTCATTTTAGATATGTAACGACCCTTAACATCAAAAGACGTTAACTCACATGGGGAGAGGAGGGCTCCAATGAATTCTGAACAGCCAATCTTAATTTAGTAGGCAGTGTTCTTATCATGAGTCAAATGTTGTTCAAATAAATTGTTTTAAATGTCACTGCAAATGACTTTCTAAACTAACATTTTGCCAATCTTGATGCTTCCATTTTACGTTGATAATGAAAATACATTTTATCGGCCTTACATTGATAAAGGGTTGGCAAGTTTAACCAGAGCCCAAAGCCTTGTCAGAAGGCTTATTTTTATAGATGTCAATTCTTTTGTAAGCCAGTAAATAATTTGACTTGAAAAAAAAAATCACGAATCTCATTATAGAAACACAAGTGATATAAAAAGAAAAGTCAACATGGCTCCTCAAAACATTCACAACTCTTCAGTAACTAAAGTGGTTGCAATGCTGGACAGAAATTCAGAGATTGAATTTACAAATGATCAAGGGCTTCAAAGAGAGCACAAATAAACAGATGAATTAATTGAAGAAGACAGTATAGGATCTGAAAGAGGAAATCAATAAAGAGAGATTCTGAAAAAGAACTTCTTGGAAATTTAAGGTCAAAAAGTAAAATTTAAAACTCAGTTGAAAGACTCAAAGACTAGATTAAGTGGAGAAATAACATCAGGGCTTTGGGACAAGGGTGATGAACATCACAGTCAGATAGTAATGAAATAATAAGAAATTTGGGGCCAGCTGAGGTGGTACATGCCTGTAATGAGGCTGAGGTAGGAGGACCACTGCAAGTTCAAGACCAGCCTGAACTACATAGAGAGATCCTTTCCTCCAAAAACCAAAAATTAAAATTAAAAAGAATAAGAAATTCTTAACAGAATGTAAAAAAAAACTTATAGGACACAATTATGAGTCTAAACTTATGAATAATATGTTAAAAGATGGTGCCAATGGGAATTTCTACTTTGAAAAAAGACAGGATTCAACAAAGACCTAGTATTTGGGGCCTGAGATCTAAAATAACAAACCAGTGAATACAAGAGGCTCGAGGGGAAGGAAGGAGGTGATGTCACCAAGAGCTCAGATCAGGGATGTTCCAAAAACTTTTGCTAAATTGAATCCTCTTGGCAAATCTATCATATCTCCTTCAATTCATGAGCAGACTGAATCATGCATTCAGTGAGTAAACAAGATATGGGTTGAAGCTAATCAAGCCTCGACACCTGCAGCCCACAGTAAATCAAGTCATGTGCAGAAGCTCCTGGTGTTATTTCACAACCGTTGGGCAACATTACTCTTCAACCTAGAGTCCTCAAGTTCCTATTATTTGAAAAAAGAGGAAGAGCAGCTGTTCTTGGCACCTCAATGCATGTCTTTGTGGTGATGAGCCAGAGGCTGTTCTACTGTAGGAGACATGTTTACTAGCAGATTGCTAGACCACCCACACAGACCCTGGGCCTGGGACACATATATCAGTGGCCCTCATACTCTAGTGGGATGAGCAATGAAGCTCAGGAAATCCCCCAAATCATCAAGGCTGGAAACTTACTCCCTGGCCTAATTCTAATATTATTTACTAAGGAGACATAGAGGTCTCACTCATTTTGAGAGCCAGGGACTGGTTCCCTAGACCCTGCCTGGATGGTCTGCACCCTGGCTCTGCAAGCAGGCTCTGGGGGATGGATGACAGGGAAGTGTATGTGTCTGTATGCTGTATGTGTCTGCTCCTGCTGCTGCGTAGACCTGTCCTGGCCCTTCCTCTTCTCTGGCCACAACCTCTTTGAGTCTCTTCTGGGTGGCTTCTCCTTCTTGCTGTGCCCAGCTCAGATTAGAACAATCTGCTTGCTTCACAGGGCCAGAAAATTTCTCAAGAGCCCTGGGCAGCCCTGAGCTCAGTCCTCAGCTCTGAGCCCATCCTCTTCGTGCTACAGCTCAAGGGTTAATCCCAAAAGTCCAGGTCCCAGAACATGGAAGAATCTGAGGAACACAGAACAGTGAGTCACTCACACCCCATATCCTCATCCTCCCATTCCTCCATACCTCCCCATCCCTCTATCTTCCCACTCCCTTTTCCCATGAGCCTCCTTCTAACCCTGAGCCCTGCTCCCATCCCCCAACATAATCTGGCTCCTCCTAGCGTATACCACTCCCCTTAGGGCTCCTCCATTCTCTGGCTTTTTCTACCATTTTTCTCTCCTTTATTGCTCCCAATACTAACCAACTATTGGCAGAGAATCTGGCATTTGCAAAACTCAGTTCTGAATGCTGACTAGGAGTTTACCAGGCCAAGAGAAACGATCCTATTGAGAGTGGCATTGGGAGATAAGGGCCAAGGCAAATGGAGATCCCTGTCCTCTGCCTGTCTGATGCCTTTTGCCTCCCACCTACTCACCCACAACCCCCCATGGACATCCCCAAACCTCCCCTGCCTGGAAGAGGGATGGCCATCAAGGTCCAGCTCCAGCTGGCCTATTACTTGGAACTACTGAAGAAAGAGGAGCTGAAAGAATTCCATCTTCAGCTAGGCAACACAGCACCTTTGGGGAGCTCTTCTGAGACTACACCAGCTAGTTCAAAGAAACCAAGTGGCAAAGCCTTAGTGGCTGAGAATGTGGAGCTGCAGACCTGTGATCTGGACCTCCACTCCGGGAAGCAGATGCACTTCAGTGTGTGTGCGCAAGACACGAAACCACCATTCTGGATGGCAGGTGAGTACACGAAGGCCCCATACATCCCCATAGGGACCCCACTGACACAAATGAACCCTTCTGCCAGGCCTTTCTCAGTAGTAACTTGGGACTGCTCATTCAAAGGAGCATCCATGCACTAGACTAGACTGGAGCTTTGCAGATTGCTGTGGGGCCCTTGCTGGAACCCAGAGCTCCACACCCTCTTCTAGCCCAGTGCATTTCCAGGCCCCCATGTGGTCCTCACAGTGTCTTGGAGGAAGCTCTTCCAAGACTGGAGATGAGAGACAGTGGCATTAGTAAGGCCACTGTGAGGCATGGGCATATGTTTCAAGCCAAGCTCCCAAGAGGAGCACTTGCTCCACATTGTCCTTATAAGCACAGACTTGGGAGCTGAGCAGAGGCAGATCCCAGTCCTCTATCACCCTGAGCAAGTCACTTTATTGCTCTGTGCCTCTGTTTCTCCATCTGTGAAGTTGGAGAGTAAAATCTTAACTCGAGCTGTGCAAAGGTTGAAAGTGACTGTTCATGTTCATTTAGGAGTCAAATATACAGTAAATGCTCAGTAAATATGAGCTCTTGCTATTGCTCCTGTTGGTATTATTACTATTCACAGCCCTGGTAGGAAGTGATTTATAGCCCCATATGGGAGAGTTGAGGCTCAGAAAGTACTGGTAATTTACCCAGAGAAATAGTGCAGAACCCAGAAACTTACACAAATTTCCTGGACCCCAGATCAAGACTTTTTGCCCAGGGCCACCTGTAAGAGCATCATTCTCCAAATGCACCTGTGGAGGAGATTGTGGAGTGAGATAATGCCCTCCTCCTGATCTCTCTCAGCCTAGACTGGGGACTTGGTTAATATGAAGAACCCTCGGGCCCCTAGTTCCTGATCCTTCCCCCTGTCTCCTTTTCATAGGCCATGGTTTCTCATATTTCGGCTCCCCAAGTACACCCAACATGACGTCCCCTAGCTGGCCAACCTCCACAGCAGTGCTGGAGTTAACGGGTCCTGAGTCCTTGGAGAACCCTCTGAACTCAGACAGAAGAATTTTGACAGGGCTGTCTGACATGTCTGGACATCCCATGAGAGGTGAGGCTTGCTTACTTGGGCCCAGATCCCTGGGTGGGGCAGAGTGTCCGCCAGTGAGTACCCAAAGGTAAGCATATACCTGTGTGAGCCCTGGCATGGGGGACTGCAGAGGAAAGATGGAGAAGAAAAGATGGGGTATGAGAGGCATAGGGCTAGACGTGATTTCCCAGGGAACTTCCAGTGCCAAACCTGCTTCCTTTCCCATTTCACATAAGGGAAATTGAGCCACATGTGCGTCTAGCAATAAGTGTTATCCAACTGGGTCCATGGGTGACGTGGTCCTTATCCAGGCAGAGCACACTTATAATTTTGGTGGATGATGAAGATCTCTGGGGTCAGACTGGTCCAGAAGTTCCAAGAAGGACTCAGTTCCCCAAGTGGATGCCAAGAAGAGACTGGGTTCATTCCTCATCCCCAACCACTTCTTTCCTGACTTCATCTCTATCATGTCAGTCACCCAGGCTACAAATCTCAGCTGTACTCTTGCCTCTTCCTCTTCTCATTACACTTCAGAGTGACCACCTCTTCCCAGTACAAAAGGACTCGGGAGACCAGGTCATTTTTCCAAGCTCACATGCACTTACAGGCAGAGCCAGGGCTAGAATCTAAAACACTCCATGGCTGGGGCAGTCATTTCCTCCTCTACCCAGCTTCTACTTTGTGAAAGTCCCACTCCTCCCTCCCTTCCTCTTTCACTTCCTTCTGAGCCTGCTGTCACCCTTCTCGTCCCCATGCCCTGGCAATGATGGTCAGAGGCTCAAATTCCATTGCGCTCCTCTCATCCTAACTAACTTCCCTTCTTGCTTTGTGATGTGGAACGTGTATCTTCAACCCCTCTCCCTTTAACGTTTCTCATTGAGCCTTCATAAATTTGCACCTCTTTCAATTTCACACAGCAAAAAAATCACTCACAAATGGGTGTGGAGGCACACCTATAATACCAGATGCTTGAGAGGCTGAGGCAGGAGGATCACAAGCTCAAGAAAGTTAGTGAGATCCTACCTCATAACTTAAAAATAAAATACAATTTTAAAAGCTCAGGGGTAAAACTGGCCTATCTTGTGTGAGTTCAATCTCCAGTACCACATACAGAAAAAAAAATCCACTTGTACAAAAATCCGAGAGAAGGTTCTACTGAAGATATTGTTAGAAGGTTAAACTGCTGCCATCTCTCTCCCCACCAGTGTCCCAGTTATGCCCCCCTACCGTTCTTCTTCCTCTTGCCGTGAACACTTCACCTTCTCTTCCCTTCTCTACTACATAGAGCAATTCCTCTCTGCACAGTCTTGTTGGCCTGAGTTTCAGTGCCTAACAAAACTGTTGTCTGGCAGTGAGCATGACCCATCCTCCTAGGAATGCCACATGAAACTATTTCTTATCACGTAAAGTAGGTACCACAGCCACACACGTGATTTATCAAAATCTCTCTATCTAATGTACACTGTACTCCCACAAAGAAGTTTCAGACCATCTACTACAAAAACAAAACTATACGTCTATCTTTACATGACTTTAAAAATAAGATTATTAAAACTTGGACCAGGGATTTAGCTCGGTGGTGCTGCCACCTGCCTCACAAGCACAAGGTCCTGAGTTCAATCCCAGCACCAAAAAAATTAAAAATATTAACACACATCTATCTCACAGGATTTTGGGGCAGTTCAAAATTCGTGTGTCTGAAATAATGGATCTTCTGTAACTATCCATTTCTTTCCTGTCATTTCCCTCAGAAAACCCTTCCTATCAAGCACTTCCAAGTTCTCCAGACCATGAGTCACCAAATCAGGAGTCACCCAACCCCCCCACAGCCACAGCGATGCTGGGGAGCTAGGAACCTCCACTTCACACTGACCCAGAGCCAAGCAATCAGAGAGCTCCTGGGACCCGGGGCATGACGGCTAAAACCACAGGAAAGTATTGCACAGGTGAGGCCTTACTGAGCTCCTGGGGGAGGGTGGAGGATGCAAAGTCACGTCAAAGAGTCAGTCCCCTGTGGGCCAGGTGGACAGGCTGAGCACAGAGGAAAATGTCAAACAGCTCTACAGAAATCCTGCCATTAGAGTCTGGCCATAGGACAAAGGCATTGCTTTCTGGAGGCTTCTGAAACTAAGATGCAGGTGCACTCTCCAGCATAGGAAATGCACCACCTGGTTTAGTGATCGGGGCATCGGTCTGAGGTCAGGAAAGCCGGATTCAAATTCCACAGAGCCCCTCACCACCACCCTCCCAAGGACCCAGAGGAAGTCACACGTCTGCAAGTGCTTTCTGGACATCCCACTCTGTCCCAGCCCTGTATCCACTGTATCACTTGCACGTTCTACTTAAATTTCACCACCATTCCTTGAGGAAGAGACTGTTACCATGCCACCTGATGACAAAGGGGTCAAAAAGGTAACGATCACAGTTAGTGTAAGAGCTGAGTTTCAGCCTGTCCTCTCCCCAACACCGAAATCCATACCTTTACCCCCACATCTGACTCCCTCTGTCATCTGGGCAATAAGGACAGTCATACTGAAGCCACAGGCATACAGGCTTCTAATGCCAAAGTCTTAACCCTAGACCGGGGTTAATGCTAGGAGATGCTGCCTTTGAAATCTGAAAGATGTGGATTAAAAGGGTCCCCTTTAACCCCAGCTAGGAGTAGACTTGTGGCATTCATAGTCCTAAAATGTGGCTCAGATTCAAAATATGTCAACTGACATAATTAGTCACACTGTTTCTCAGTCAAAAAGAATAGAAAGAAGGATGGGAAGAAGAGAGAGAGGAAAAAAAGATAAATGAGAATGATTACTGCCATCTAACAGAAATATACAAATGAGATAACAGTACTGGAAAGCAATAACCACTGTGCATGGTGGCATAGGTTTATAATCCCAGCACCTGGGAGGCTGAGGCAGGAGGATCACCACAAATTTGAGGCCAGCCTGGGCTACATAGTGAGTTCAGGGCCAATCTGAACCACATAGTAAGACCATGTCTCAAAGAATAAAAAGAAAAAAGAAAAAAGCAAGTATGAAAACTATGAAGACAAATGAGTTGCTATAAGTAAAGATTCCATTGATTCTGAGCATCCTAGCAAGTATGGAAAACAGGTGGCTGCCCAGAGGTGGCAAACTCCCACCAAATCTAGCAAGCCACCGGTCTGTTGAAGATTTGCCAACACTGAGTCAGGTGCATACCATTATAATTGGGATAGTGAATTTTTAATGTACAACTTAACCCATGTCTTAGTTATGTTTCTTGTTTCTGAGACAAAATACCTGGCATCCATAGTTAAAGGAAGAAAGGTTTACTTGACTTGGTTTATAGAGTATTCATAGTTGGCTGCCACCAAGGCAGGGTGGCATGGCAGAGGGGCATCACAGAGCAGGCAAGCAGAAGGTAGCAAGCTACAAGTGACAATAGCAACTTCTTTCTGCTCCTTTACACATGCTGCCCAGGCTACACACCCTCCAGGTGGGTAGCACTAACACCCAGAACTATGCCAAACCAATCAGTGGACTAATTTAGTAATCACATACCCTTAATCCCAGCTTCACACACTCTACATCCAGCCACCTCTAAAAAATCTCTATGACTGCATGAGGCTTTAGGGAGATATCTAAACACAAGCCGTAACAACTCATTTATGCTAAAGGTTGCAACTTTTTGAATTTTTACATGAAATTCATATACATTACCTAGAAAATTCAAGGAAGAGTTTGAAGAAAAAAATTTATGATGTTCCATTGCTATGTGCCATTCCAAAAATGGAACACTAGCCATAAAAGGATTAATTCAAGATAATAAGAAAAGCTTTAAATCTGTCTTGATTCAAGAAGATTTAGATATGTGTTTGGTCACAGATTCATGAAAAGTAGAAAATTTAGGAAAACCTAGCATCATACCTGGCACCTCAGGCAAACAGGGCCTGAACAGAGCAAGCCATGGCTATGGCCCTGGATGGCCATCCTGCTTCTCTTAGAAGATATTCACTTTGCTACAAATGTTCTCACAGGGCACAATGAAAGCAGATCAGTACATTATAATTTCAGAAGTGAACGCATGCTCAGAAGCCACAGTCTCACAAAGGGAATGGGTGTAAATTGACCCCACACTCCACAAAGATCTTCTTGAGCACACCTGCAAAAGTAGGAATCATGCACTCTGTATGTAGCACTACAGGTGCCCTGGGATGAACTGGGCTTCAGCATCCCTAGTGAGTAAGCTGCATCATCTCTAAGATTCAGTACTATGGTTTGATAAAATATGTCCCCCCAAATACTAATGTGTTCAGAGGTGGGACTTTTGGAAAGTGCTTAGATCATAGGGGCCCTAAGGAAGACCTGAATGTGCTGTTAAGAGGTGCAGCCTCAGAGGAAGTAAGCCAAAAGAGGTGTAACCTGAAAAGGTATATCCTTGTCCTTGGTACCTCTCTCTCTGGCTCTTTCTTCTCTTTTTACTCCCTAGCTGCCATAAATAAAGCAGTGTTCCTCTGCCATGACAGTTCTGCCTCATGGAGCCGTCTGACCATGGACTGAAACCTACGAGGCCATAAGCCAAAAATCTTTTCTACTTTAAGTCATGTATCTTGGCTATTTTGACCTATCAGTAGAAAGTTAACTAATGCATTCACCTAACCAGAGAATTAGAGGCATTCAAAATATTAGAAAAGGAAAGATGGAAATGGATTGTAAAGATATTCTGCTCGAATTTTAATGAAATAGAAACCTGAGGTCCCACCTTGGGGAACAATCCAAGTCATCACAGTTCACAAAGCATCTTCCTGTAGGTCACAAGTTGGGCTTCCTCAGAAACAGACCCTGAGAGGGGCTGGTGTGCAGGTAGTTTACTGGGGAGGCTATTCCAGGATGTACTGGTAGGAGAGCAGAAACATGAGGCAGGAGGGGAAGCCCAGCAACGGTGCATTATGGGGATGATTACCACTGTAAGCAACTGTCTTAGTCTATTGTAAATTGCTATAACAGAATAAGTGAGATTGGGTAACTTGACAAGAATTTTATTTAGTTGACAATTCTTTAGCTAGAAGTCCAAGATCAGAGAGGCACATCTGCTCTGCTTCTGGTGAAGATTTCATGGTGTTTCATGTAGGGCAGGAAAAAAGCAGAAGAGAAAACAAATGCCTGCAGTGGAAAGGAAAGGGGTCCTGATCCCCACTGTTGCTAACCCATTCCCACAAGAAAAGCATTAATCCACTCATGATGAGTCTGCTCCATGATCCACTAGACTCCACTTCCAAACACTGCTACCACTGGCAATCTCATTTCAACATGAGTTTTCACAGGGACAAGTGATATCCAAAGTATAGCAACAACTGAGGATGTTGGGAGACAATGTAGAATACACGTTTCAGTTGCCTGTCCTGGGGATCCCTACCTATTGTCTGTGGGGGGCTCTCTGTACAATTTCCGGCACACTTCACTTTTGAGCCACAAGAGCCCTTGGACTGACACTTACAGGTGCTTCCAGAAGAACATATTTGGCAGGTCCTACAATGGTGGGATGCTGAGGAAATGCTGTTGTATCTTACCTGCCTCCTACAAAGGACAAACACAATCCCTGATGAACATATGAGAAAACCAAGGCTCAGTAGGGTGATTGGCCCTAGTGATAAGTTTATTGAGTGCAGACAGTTGTGCCTGTTTGCTCACTCTTTATTGCTAGCCCCAGGAGCAGTGCCTGGCATATAGGTTTCTTGAGGAATATTTGAAGAATGACTTGGTATATGATGGAGCATGACTTGATAAAGTCAAGACTTGAACTAAGATTTTCTATTCCAAAGCCCATGTTCCACTGACTGCAGAGGCCAAACCATGTCTGTAGCCATTGCAATGTGTGACTTGCAGTGAGTACCTAAATTCATTCGGTTGTTGAATGAATGAATGAACAACTCTATTCTATACCTTAAGGTTCTATCTTTTTATCTCTTACTTAAAAACCAGAAGATATCAGGACCAGAAGACAGAGAACCCCTGCCCCACACAGTCCTGGAAAAATGAAGTTTTGCACCAAAAATTCACACAGCTGTTACTTTTACAGAAATGTCATCTCAGAGGCCAGGAGCCTCTGGTCAGGGAAAGCAGGCATCATGGCACAGTAAAAGAGCAAGGACATTTGATTGAGATCCAAGACTTATTTTGTCCAGGTCCAGGGACCCAAGCAGAACCTCACACAGTCACATTATATGGGGCTGCTGGAATTGGGAAGTCAACACTGGCCAGGCAGGTGAGGGTAGCCTGGGAGCAAGGTCAGCTCTACAAGGACCACTTCCAGCATGTCTTCTACTTCAGCTGCAAAGAGCTGGCCAGGTGTAAGGTGATGAGTCTGGCTGAGCTCATTGCAAAAGGCTGGAGTGACTCTGCAGCTCCCATTGAGCAGATCCTGTCTCAGCCAGAGCAGCTGCTCTTCATCTTGGATGGTGTGGATGAGCCAAAATGGGTCTTAGAGAATCCAAATTCTGAACTCTGTCTGCACTGGAGCCAGCCACTTGCCATCCCTGCACTGCTGGGCAGTTTGCTAAGGAAAACTGTACTTCCCGGGGCTTCGTTTCTGATTACAACTCGGACCACAGCTCTGCATAAGCTCATTCCTTCTTTGAAGCAGCCGTGCTGGGTGGAAGTCCTTGGCTTCTCTGAGAGTAGAAGGAAGGAATATTTTTACAAATATTTCTCAGATGAAAGGCAAGCAATTAGAGCCTTTAGCTTGGTGGAATCAAACCCAGAACTCTTGACCCTGTGTCTCGTGCCCTGGGTGTGCTGGCTGGTCTGCACTTGCCTGAAGCAGCAGATGGAGCAAGGGGAAGAACAACCACTGACCTCTCAGACCACCACAGCCCTCTGCCTACACTACCTTTCCCAGGTTCTCTTGACTCAGGACCTGAGTCCTCCACTCAGGAGCCTCTGCTCTCTGGCTGCTGAGGGAATCTGGCAAAGAAAGACCCTATTCAGTGCCGATGATCTTAGGATGCGTGGGTTAGAAGGTGACGTCATTATCACCTTCTTAAAGATGGATGTTCTTCAAGAGCACCCTGGCACTCTGAGCTACAGCTTCACTCACCAGTGTTTCCAGGAGTTCTTTGCAGCAGTGTCCTGTGTCTTGGGGGATGAAGAGGAGAGAGGTGAGCATCCTGGCAACCTCAGAGTCATGGAAAAATTATTAGAAGTGTACGGAAGGCATAACTTGTTTGGGGCACCAACCATGTACTTCCTATTTGGCCTTTTAAGTGATCAGGGGGCCAGGGTGTTGGAGAACATCTTCACTCGAAAGCTGCCTGCAGAGCAGAAGTGGGAGCTGCTGCAGTGGGTCCAAAAGGAAGCCCTACCATGGCAGCCATACTCTCTGGACTTGCTTCACTGTTTGTATGAGATTCGGGATAAGGAGCTCCTCACACAGGTGATGGCCTATTTCCAAGGAATGAGGATGTATATCCAGACAGACATGGAGCTGCTGGTGTTCACTTTCTGTGTTAAATTCTGTAGCCATGTGAAGAGGCTTCAACTAAATGAGAGTGAGCTGCAGGAACTAGGATGGAGGCCCCCCAGGGTAGTTCTGTGAGTATCCCAACCCACCCCTCTGCTCCTCTGACTTTCCTACAAGCCCTCATGTCCTGAGCACAGAGACACTCACTCAGCCTGGTCCCTGGAGCTAAAGGATGGAGATCACCAGTGTCCACTAAGTGCCCAACCTGACCACCATTCTCTACCTATGATCCTCTGCATGCCTGACCATGTGACAGAGCCCTGAGTCATCCTGTGGCCTCTCTTACCTCTGCAGCAATCACCCTCCTTCTCTGCTGGACATGCTCCCAACTTCACACTGACCTTCACATTGCCCACACCCTCTCCAAGAATCAGGCAGTCACTTGCCTCTGCTCTTCTCTCTTGACATGCTTTCTCTCTGAGAAACTGCTCACCCAGCTCCTTCAAGCACCACATCAAAGACATTGGCCCTGGGATCTTCCACCATCATCTCCGAATGCATGTGTCTGAGAGGGAGTTCACTATTTTTCCTTATTTGTTGTATCAGTGATGCACAAGAGCCACTGGCACTCTATCTGAAACCCACCTCTGAGCATGAAAACATAGCTTTGTCTAACCACCCTTAACACTGAGAAACACTGTGAACCTCTCCTTGCAGGTTCTCTGTTTGTGTTGCAATATATTTTTTTGAGACAGGGTCTTGCTATGTAGCCTAGGCTGGCCTTTAATTCACTGTGTAGCCCAGGCTGGCCTCCAACTCACAGTGATCCTTCTTCCTCAGCCTCCCGAGGGCTGGGATTACAGGCAGGCAAAACTGTTCCCAGCTCTCCTTGTTGGGATATTGACCATTCTCTCTCAGTATAAGTCTATCTCCCATTTCAGATGATTCGTTCCATAAATATTCGCTAGGCTGGTGGGACTGGAGATGTAGCTCAGTAGTAGAGTGTTTACCTAGCATGTGACAGGTCCTAGGTTTGATTCCCAGCACACACACACACACGCACACACAGAGAGCACTGAATTTATGCCAAGTCCTACAAATCAAAAATTAAAAAACACAATCCTTGCCTTAAGGAGCTCACATACTGGGAGAGAAGGCAGACATGTACACAATAATTACAACAGAGTGATTCTGCAATAATAAAGGTAAGGGCAAGATAGCACAGTGGCTTAATGAAGGGAGTGATCATACAAGTGGACTAGAAAGGGCTTTATTTAATTGAGTCTTCTATTTTCAAATTCTTGAGCTTTTTCTTATGGTAAAACCCATGTTCATTGTAAAAAAAAAAAAAAAAAAAGGACAAGTAGATAAGCAAAACAATTAAGGTAAGTAAAAAAGCAAAAGGATAAAATTTAATATCAACCAGAGTTCCATTACTCCAAGGTGACCATCAATAAGAATTGAGATACATCCATGTAGTGTTTTTCCTATGAAATTTTCTATGTGAAAATTGAACCATCAGTATATTTTTTTCTTGTACTCAGCTTTATTTTCTTAATATATCAAGACCATATTCTTCTGTTATTAAGAAGTCTAATACAACACAAACTTGAATAACCACATGATATTCCCTAAGGAGAGAGCCATACCTGATTTGACCATTTCCTATTGACCATTTTAGACTGTTTCTAGTTGTTTGTGGCTGTAAACATGATGGTTGGCTTTGAGGGCCTGAATACAGGTGTTGCAAGCACCAGTGGCCTAACATGGGGCCTTCAGAAGTGTCCTGAGCAGGTACAGAGGCAAAAGCCAAATGGAGACAAGAAGAAGCAGGGACACCAGAGTACCAAGGCACTTTGGAATGGATGGTAGCAAATGGGGCCTGGAGAGAATCCTGTGGGAAAGTCAGGGGCTTCTGCTGCAAGTAGGGAGGAGGGGCCGCTGGGTCAGCCAGGCAAGGGAAAACAAGGAGGCTGCGCTGCAAACACAGGAAAGTCCAGGAAGAAATGGTGAAGACGGCCGAGGCTACGGGAAAAGAAAGGAGGATGGAATCAAGATGTTAAGACAATAAAGCTGGCAGGGTGAGCGGCCTTCTAGGTATTTGTCTTATACTTAAGCCTTGCACATTTTGAATGTTAAATTTTTAATTTTTTTCAGCATGTATAAAGACTACATATGCCTCAAAAAGCCATCTTTTGGCAGCTTAATTACTTGATTTCTTTTACACTTGTTTAGTTTTATGACATTTGAATGACACAGTTTTAACTTTTTGTTTCAGTCAGGATTGGCCACCTTCCGTCTTTTTTGATTCATGTGTGCATTTATACTTCTGAAGGTGTTAAATCTGTAGTAAGGCTTTGGGAGACCCTGCAACACCTTGTAATCCTCACAAAACCTCTGTGGCAGCTGGTGCTGTCCTAATATTGCCGCTGAGAAGACTGAGTGAGACACAAGCAAAGTGGACTCGTTGCTCCTTGCCTCTGACAACTCTGCATACACAAGGGGGAAATGAGTAAAGAGAGGAATATATTGGAACGTACTAGGTAAAAGAGTCCCTGGAGTGTTGAATTAGAGATATCCTGGCAAGAAACCAGTCTGAAGCTTGGAAGAAGTTTTAGTAGTTGAAGCCTGGAACCAGGAGAGATCACTAAATTAATGTCTGAAAATGGAGAAATTAAATGGGTGAATGTCACACAAGGCTGAGTCTACAACAGCACTCTCACCCCAAGCTCATCATCCTTCCCGTTCTGGCTGTAGACACTCTCTCCTAGGATGTTTCCCCTTCCCACCTCTCTCCTATGGACCATCTCTATGGTCTTGCTATTCTTAGAGGGAGAGAGAGGTTCATGCAAACCAACATGGACAGCAGTATATATGGTCACATCCAACATCTCATCAGAGAATCATCATCAAACCATCTTTCTGGGACCTGTTCCCACCTCCCATCTCCTTTCCCCTCTGGCCTCTGAGACTCTAGAATTCTTTTCCAAAGGAAGACAGGTGTGTCTTCATCAAAAGGAGAAAATCTGTCAAATTACCAAGTGCCTCCAGTATGCCAGACCCTATCCTGGGCACTGCAGATAGAAAAAGATGCTATCTGCTCATACCCTTGGGAAACTCCTAGACTAAGGCAGAAGCAGACACAGAAAATAAATACATCACTATGTTCTGCCAAGGGCTGTAGAATGAAGAGGAAACCAGAGGAGGGATGCTGAGCCCAGGTGAGGGGCCAGTGGAAAAGTAGGTCAGCCCTGGGGACGGCACTGCCTATGGTAGCATGGTGCTCAGGGGGACAGAGCCCCACTTTGTGATGTGAAGTGAGGCTGTGTATCTTGGACCCTGCACAGATAGCTCTCCTCTCTCTCCTCTCTCTCTCCTCTCTCTCTCTCTCAGGTCCACATGGAATCCACTAACAAATAATAGTTGGAAGGTTCTCTTCTCCATCCTCAAGGACACTGGCAGCCTGAAGGAGCTGGACCTAAGTGGAAATCCACTGAGTCTGTCTGCCATGCAGAGTCTTTGTGAGTCCCTGAGACACCCTCGCTGCCACCTAAAGACCTTGTGGTGAGTTTGACTTGGGTTCTCCTCTGGAGCAGGCTGGGTGGAAAAATAAAGGCAGAAATTGTCTAGGATAGCAGATTAGTCTTGGAATTCATCAAATATTCTTGGATCCCATGTCTGACCATGCCTTGTGTCAGATCAAGGGCTGCTACAGGAAACAGACACAGGCAGGATTCTGTTGTGGAGAGACAGACATTGATCAAGGAACTATACTATCAAATGTGTAACAACAGGCCCAGACAATGGCCCCAGTGGAGAACATTTCCTTCAGAAAGTGACTTGAAGGAAATCTAAAGAATAGAGAAGATTTGGCCAAGTGAATCAGGAGAGGAAGTTTCAGACAGAGGGGATGACATTTCCCATTTTCTCCCCTTCCGTTCTTTCATAACCACCATTTTATTCTGTTTCTATGCTCTTTATATTTTTTCAGCTTTCACATACAGGTAAAATCATGTAATATTTTTCAGTGTTTGATTTACTTCACTTCAGGATTTCTCAAACTATATTTAATAGCTGAAATCAAGAATTCTGGGGCTCTTATTTTAGAGAGCATATACAATTGAGTATGTTATGTAGACAAAGGAAGATTTACAAGAGAGGACAGTGGAGATCTTAAAGAGCCAGAAAAAGCAAGCTTAGTAGAGGGGAAGGAAGAATAGAATCAAGACACCTGAGGAAGAGCCTTGTCCCGCTCTGGAATAGAGGGACAGAGAAGGACTGTGAGAACATGGCAGCTGGGGAAAAGAGAGACCTTGAAGGTTTCAAGTCCCGCAGCAGCAGCATCCTGTAAGCACTTCTTCCAGGCACTATCCTAGTGCGTGGAACACATTACCTCTACTGATCTTTGCAAACACCTTGCACAATAGGCTTGGTAAATCCATGTTATAGCAAACTAATGACACTTAATAATGAGGAAACTTTCCCATACTCATCAAATACTAATGGACAAGGGCAAGATCTGAACCCATGTCTGTCTGGCCCCAGAGCCCTTACCCACCCCACTCCACCACCCCAGTCAGATGTCTTCAGGCCAGATGCCCTAAGTGGGGCTGGGAGAGGCTGAGATTTGCAGAAAGGCATCCACCCAGCACATCTGGCAATAGTGAGTCCTTTAGTATGAATGAAACCTTAAAAGTAGCTTTATCCTCAAACTTGATTTTTATGCAAGATGAGTAAGCTAAAAATGTACTGTCATTTCATATGTGCCCTGCCATCTAGGAGTATCCCCTGCTTCCACTCACACTTTGGTGACCCACTCAATCCAGACACACCCAGTGCTCTCTTTTAGTCAAGACTTTGAAGCATTGAATGACATACCACCAGCTTGGTGTGCTGATGAGGTCCTGACTGTTCTTCTGGGAGCTGAGCAGATCCAGCTGTGGAAGGGAAGGGTGGCAGAAGCTGGACTGATATCACAAGAGCAAAGGACCCTAGACACCATTCCCCCAGAGAGAGCTGTGTATATATAGCATGGAGCACATGTGCAGCACTTGTCTTGCATAAGTGGTAACACGACACAATTATCATGTCCCTTGGTTTATCATTTGAAATAGATTTTGAGATGTTCCAACATAGGTACTTACAAAGCTGCTTCATACCTTTTAACAACAGTCTAGAATTCCACTGCATTCACTCCCTCCCTCTCCTTTTTTTAAGTGCCCCCCCCCTTTTTTGAAACAAGGTCTAGCAATGTTCTATAGCCTGGCCTTGAACTCACTATGCACCCCAAGCTGGCCTCGAACTCACGGTGCTTTTCCTGCCTTGGTTTCCCAAGTGCTGGGATTACAGGCATGTACCACCACACCCAGCATCACCATGTTTTTTAATCACTCCCTTATTATGGGCATCTGATTTCTGTCCAGTCTGTGCCACGGTAAACAGAACTGCAGTTAACATCTTCCCTCATGCATCCTGACACCCATCCTGTAGCCTAAGTTCTGAGAAGTGCTAGGTAAAGATCATCTAAGGATACAGTGTTTACCAAGATTAAAAGGGCCACGGTAAGCCTCATCCCCAAGCACCCCAGTGTTAACTCCTTCCTAGTGCATCTCTGTTGCCACCCACACTATAGACTGGGAGAGGCTGAAAGGAGAAAGAAGAATTTCATCTGTAAAAATGGAGCAAACCAGCCTGCCCCTCTTTCCTGCTCCTCTTCCCAGATGGTCTGTCCCATCCCCTCCCTTTGATTTTTGGTCTATGAACAGTGAGAACTTGGGCTGCCCTGGACACCATGGCTCTCGGGCCGTCCTCCAGCCCAGCACCAGCACACCTGTGCCCCAGCACCTTACTTCTATTGTGATGCAGCTGTGGGACATGTGGAGTTACCCATCCACATAAGACAAGACAGGCTAAAGAGTTTTGCCAGACAGACATGGCTTAGCACACCATGAAGGGTTTCAGATATGTTCCTGGCCTGGAACAGCACATAGTCCAGACTTCAGTATGTACTTCAGTATATACTGGGGAGCCCAGGATAGGCCCATTTGAACCTACTGCCCCTCAGATTTTGTTCTTATACTGCACTGGAAGCTCACTGGTTTTTCTCCTGGACTGGAGATACTGTCACTATTGAACCCACCAGAGCATCCTATGTCTGCCAAGTCTGAGTATGTGGCAAAAGGAAACTGGCTAACATTTAAACCCAAGTTACTCCACAAGGTTGATACACTGCATGGCTAGAACTTAGGTGGATCCCACCAGGACTGAGACCTGCAACCTGGGGGGCTACTTGGCTACAAAAGGAAAGGTGAGGCTTCCCAGGTCACAGCAAGCCGAGAAAGGCTTTGTCTTCCTCTATTGTCATCCCTGGACCCCCAAATAGCCACAGCTACTCAAAAAGAAGATCAGGTCCCAGTTACCCAGGGGAGTGAGCCCTTGAGACAATGACTGTGGGTCTGTGTGCATCTCTTGTGCAGGCTGGTCGGCTGTGGCCTCACATCCAAATGCTGCCAGGACCTGGCCTCTGTGCTCAGTGGCAACAGCAGCCTGACAGAGCTGGACCTGCAGCAGAATGACCTGGGCACCAATGGTGCGCAGTTGCTCTGTCAGGGGCTCAGGCATCCCGCCTGCCAACTCACACTCCTATGGTAAGGCCAGGGGGTCTCCACTGGGGAGGAGCAGAAGGAATGGGAATGGGTCAGGGAAAGGAAATTGAACTGATAAATGCATTATCAGCCTGGGCTCCCTCCCAGGTCTGCCACATACTCACACCAGGTGACTTCAGCGACTCTTCTGTGAGACTTGGTTTCCTCACTATGTATTGGGGGTGTCACATCCACTTCATGCTTTCCAGATTTCTGGGTTCTGGGCACCTTGGGATCATAGGGAGATCACAGGAGAACTAGATTTCCCTTTTTGCTCACAGCCTGGACCACATTCTTCTGAGTGAGGAGATGAAGGAGGAGCTAAGGGCCTTGAAAGAAGAGAAACCTCAGCTGCTTGTCTGCAGCAGATGGTAAGGGTTGGCCCTGGGGCTGTCTGGACAACTCAGGCTGAGGGCTGAGCCACTGTGGATGGTCCAGAGTGAAGTGATGGGAAGGGAGTATTGGGCTGAGGGAGACAAACAGAGCCAGGAAGAACCCAAGAAACCACAGCCTGTAAGATATTTGTTTTATTTTGCTTTGTTTTGTTTTTTGGTTATTTAATGAGCACAGAATCACATTATATGCATGCTTACACCCTTCCGTTAGGCAACTAAGGAAATGAGAAAGTGAGTGAGTGAATCCTATGGGCCCACCACACTGTGATAACCACTGGTCACTCGTATTGTTGCCTTAAATTAAGAGAAGGTTTAGAACAATGGAAGCGGTGACCACAGAGTGGGGCACAAAGGCAAAGACACAAAGAGCCCTTTGGGAAAAGACCAACATCACTCTACCTGCCCCCCACACACCTATATACATACCTGGGCTTAAAAGGGAGTCTCAGGGCAGGAGAGCCAACCTCTCCCCCACTGGGAATGGGTTGCAGCCCCATGTGCTCCCATTTTGGCCCACGTTGTCCCATGACCATGAAATCTATCTTTCCCCAAGTTCCTGGCTATTATGCCTCACCTGAAAGGGAAAGGAAAGGGCTCCTAGGCTTAGAAGAAGACTTCCATTCATTAAACAAACATTCCCCGTAGACATACTGTGTGTTGGGAACTATTTGAGGATCTTAAATATAACTGAGAATGAGACACAAGCAGTCCAAACTCCTGGCAAACTCCAGTCCAAACTCAGTTCAGCAGGGAGAGAGGCACAAGTTCTCCCACAAGCCGTGTAATTGCACCTAGGGTTGCTGTGCATGCACTGGTAGGCCTATTTGACTTCACCCAATGGATTGAGCTGGGCTCTGAAAGATGGGAAGGGTGAGCTGGGGCAAGAAGGGGGTGATTTCAGGCAGAGATATGTGAGAGAATGAAAATCTCTATGTATAGGAAGCCACGTGTGATGATCCCTACTGAGGGCAGGAATGGAGGAGAGATGGGTACTAGCACATCCTCACTCAAGCGGCAGAGACCACAGTCAGGTATTTGAAGGGGCCAGCTTGGGTCCATCATGGTGTGGCTGCAGGAAGGGGAAGCTCTGGGAGGTCATCCCATCTATCCCCCTGTCCCAAAGATGAGACAAGGAGGTAAACCACCTAGAAAGGCCCTGCTCCATGCAAGATCTTCAGTTCCTAGATCTCAGCTCTCCCAGACTTACAGTGTGATCTGCCCCTCTGCAATATCCATGCCAAGTGTCAGAGTCTTCACCGGGGCCCAGTCTCCCATTCTGGGCTTCTGTGACCTGAGAATCCCCTCCTTATCTCTGCCTGCCCACCTGTACTGTTCAGCTTTCCAAAATACCTGACACCCACAACTTAAAGAAGGAGGTGGGTATTTGGTTCATGGTTTCAGAAGTTTCAATTCATGGTTGGCTGGGCCCAAGGAAGAAACATTATAGGGTAATGGTATGGCAGAACAAAACCACTTAAATCACAAAAACCTGAAAGCAGATCGCAGGGGAAGACCACCATTGAGAGATATAACCAAAAAGGCAGCCCTCTCCAATGACCCACCTATGGCTGAGCTCCAACTCCTAACAGCACATTCAGCTGATGAGTGCAATTTTGACATGATCCGATCATTGCTCCAGGAGTCTTTTAATCCAGTCAAGTTGACAATTAAGCTTAACTATCACATCATTCATCCATTAAACCAGGTTCCTTTCTCAACTTTTTGACCTGGGACATGCTGAGAAAAGTAGTACTTCTGGACAAGTCGGGAAAGGGAGATGGGCACAGAGTGTCAGGGTCAGGGTTAGTGGGGTGCATATCCTAGATTACACCAGGTAGTACCAGGAGCAGTGACAGATGCAGCTGGAAGACTCCCTTTCATGACCACTCATGCCAGCTTCAGGAAGGACCCTGCCATAGGCCTGCTGTAGGAGGCTGGGGAGACCAGGCAGGAGAACTTGGAACTGACCACTTCCCTTCTGATCCCAGAGGAAGGCTCCCCACAATTACCCCAGATGGAACCCTTCTTTTTGCCCTCTCCCTCCCCTCTGGGACACCAGCACACGGAGCCTCTGGGGACTGAAGATGACTTCCATGGACCAACAGGGCCTGTGCTTACTGAGGTTATTGACAAAGAGAGAAACTTGTACCGGTGAGTGAGGGGCTCTGACTGCTCCAGACTGGGCTCCCCCACCCCAGTGCCCACACTGGATTCCCATAGACAGCACCACATCCCCTCTCCACTTGTTCCTTTGTTGTCAGGCCAGCAGAAACAGACTGAGATACTAGGTGTGTGGAAAATATTATAGAAATAGATGCTTTATACAAAAGTAGAGAGTACAAGGAACTAAGCCCATGTCCTAGCTACAGCTACAGTGTGGCTACATTCCTTTCAACTGTTCTATTTCCTCTTCTTTTTTATTATTATATTTTAAATCCAACATATCATGTGATTTCATCCTTAAATACTTTATTATGGATCTCAAAAATAAAAAAGAACTATTCTTTCATAACTACTATGCCATTATCATATCTAACAAGGTTGACATTGTTTCATATCATCCAACCTCAATGTCTATTCAAATATGCTTAATTTTAGAAAATGTGTTCTTGCTAATTATTTATTCTAAACAAGGATCACTTGTTATATTTGCCTTATATCTCTTAAATCTCATTTAAATATCTTTTAATGTATAGGCCTCTGTTTTGTTAATAGCCATACATACTAAGTACCTACCATTAGCTGAGGACCTTTGTTCAAATGAATATGGTATACCTGCCCACCACTTTATAGGCTCATAAGTAATACATGTTTATAACTATAATCATGATTGCTTCTTTTATGCATAGTACTAGAGAGTGAATGTAGGGCATTCAAACTGAGTTACAACCCTACCCCATTTTTTATTTTCTATTTTGAGACAGGGTCTTTGTAAGCCACTAAGTTGCCCAAGCTGAGCACCAACTTGTGATGCTCATGCCTAGGCTGCCCAGACTGCTGAGATTACAAGCCTGTGCCACCACAACCAGGCATAACCTCTTATATAACAGGTTACCATTCACCAAACACTATCACAGCCCCTGTCTCAGCTGGGCAATAGTGTCACTCCCCAAATCCACCTACAGAAATTGGCATCTGTCCACCATACCATGTATCATATACAAAGCCTTGAAAAGTCTTTATATTTCCAGAAAGTATTCTTTCTCAGATACAGGGGTTATTACTGGTATTACTATGTACATTGTTATTAACTATTGGTATCTGGGCCCTTTAAAAATAAGAACACGGGCTGGGGATTTACCTCAGTGGTTTCGCTGCCTGCTGCGCAAGCATAAGGACCCGAGTTCGATCCCCAGCACCCAAAAAAATAATAAAAATAAAAATAAGAACACATAGGGGCCGGGGATTTAGCTCAGTGGTTCCACTGCCTGCCTTGCAAGCACAAGGACCTGAGTTCAATTTCCGGTACCAAATAAATAAATAAATATAAAACTAAGAACACTTAGGGACCGGGAATTTAGCTCATTGGTTCCAGCACCTGCCTTGCAAGTGAAAGGTCCTGAGTTTGATCCCCAGTACCAAAAAAAAGTGTGCCTTGCAAGCACAAGGACCCGAGTTTGATCTCTGGTACCAAAAAAAAATAAGAACACTTGTCTGTTTCATCATCATCATCATCATCATCATCATCGAAAGAGCTATCTACTTCCAGGCATGTGTTAAGCTGTCAGTTTGCATTAAATTACTCATTGCTCACAACTCTTGGAGGCAGTTATTACTCCTATTTACAGATTAGGAAACTAAGACTATGGAAGTTAAGACTTTATCCATTGACTATAGTCACATAGCAGAGGAGCCAGAATCCAAACCCAAATTCTTCTTACTTTGAAGTCATTTTGTAGCCTCTTCCCTGTATCCACAAGCCCTTGCACTGTGTCTGGCTTCCAGTAGGTGCTCAGTAAGTTTGCATAGTTGAATGTCTTCTTTTTCCTTCCAGAGTTCGTTTCCCTATGGCTGGCTCCTACCACTGGCCCAACACAGGTCTTGGCCTTGCAGTGAGAAAGGCAGTAACCATCGAGATTAAATTCTGTGCCTGGGACCAGTTCCTAGGCACCTGCAGCACACTTGGATGGTGGCAGGACCTCTCTTTGACATTAAAGCTGAGCATGGAGCTGTGGCTGCTGTGTACCTCCCTCACTTTGTGGCTGTCCAAGGTAAATGAGGGAAGGACCTGGAGTAGGGTGAGGTAATAATACCTGAAAGGGGTATAGGATGAAGGATGGGGAGGGAATAAGATGAGAGGGGTATGGAGGTGGAGACTGAGATTTTTCATCATCCCACTGTTCTCTGTTCTCTACACATGTCTTTTTTGGAGCACATGTCTCCTAGTCTTATAATTATTTATATTTATATTTATAATATTTCCCGGATTGCCATGAATGTTTCCCCAAATGGAAAAAAAATCTCCTCCGTAATATCAACATGCATTCATTAAGTACCTTTTACATAGATTGTATCACTCACCATCCCAGAGAAGTACATGATACTCAGTTGAGACTTTTGAAAACAGTTTCAAAGACAAGACTATGTACAAAGTAAGGACTGAGGAACTAACAAGGATTATTTGGTACCCCAGATCACAGCATAGACATGTGTTACCAGATTTCAGTTGACAGCTGGAGCCATGGAAAGGAGCTTCCTAAGAGAAGTCAGTAGTTACAAAAACTCCAGACCTCTACTACCTCCAAAGACTTCCCATAGAGAAAGCTATAAGAAATATAAGCTCAATATAAACTCAAAAGTTTAGCAAGGTACCCTGAGAGCCAGAAGAAACAGCAGGTAACAGAATTAGCCCCTTAAATACTTCAGAGAGTGGATTCATCAGGAATGACACATAAAATAAGTTTGTATAATATTCTTAAATAAAAAAGTAAGTGTAAAAACATGAGCAAGCAACAGGAATTTTTAAAAATAACCAATTTAGAACAAATGAAATTAATGGCAAATATGATAAAAACATCTTAAAATATCAAGAAATGTGGAAAACACTGTAAAAAGACCTCATCTACATTTAATTGCAATTCCAGAACAAAATGATAGAGAAAAATGGAGAAGATAAAATATTCAAAGAGATAATTGCCAAGAAATTTCTAAAATAACTGAGAGATATGAGACTTCTCAGGAAAGGAAATCCCAAAAGTCTAAAGCAGGAAAGAGAGAGAGCGAGAGAGAGAGAGAGAGAGAGAAATCAACACTATAGTGAAACTACAAAATAACAAAACTGAAGGGAGGGTCTTTACAGCAACCAGAAAGGAAGATTATCTAGCAAGGTACAGGTGACTGACTTCTACGTAGTAACAGAGGAAAGCAGAAGACAATGGAATGATATCTTCAATGTCTTGAGAAGGTAAATGTCCATCAAGAATTGAAACAAGGAAAATACTTTTAAGTGGCTGGTGAAATAGACATTTTAGACCAAACTAAAACAAGACAGCTTGCCACAAACAAATGCTTACTGATGGAAATTGTACAGGATATACTTCGAGCAAGTGGAAAATGGCCTCATAAAAAAGGTCCAAAGTATAAGATGGAATGATAAGCAAAGATATACATGTGGGTAAATCTAACAAAATAGTGGCCTATTAAAATAACAATAATGATGCCTCTATGTGGGGATTTAAAGGAGATAAAAGTAAATAGATGCCAACAGTAATAGAAACAAGAGTGGCAAAGGATTCTAAGGCATTTGTAGACTTCAGAAGGAAGATAAAGGCAGGGCAGATGTCCCATCAGGTGCAGCAGTTATGCAAACTATGTTGAAATGCTGAAATACATCTTTGCTACTCAGTAAACAGAAATTCTCCACTCCTTGAGCTCACAAACTATGAACAAGCTTTAGTGTTGGAAATAGACATGAATAATGGGACTTGGGTGGGATGAGTTATCAATGGGGTTTATGAATAAGCGTTGCTCTGGACCAGTCCATGGAAGACAAGAGGGTCCAATCATTCCAGGCATCAGGGCAGGACCGTCTGGAGCCTTGTTGATGTCAGGAGCTGTGGCACAGGCCCTCCACACCAGGCCATAGGGTAGAGCTGGCATCAGATGAAAACCAGCCACTGCCAAGTGCCAGGGAAATAGTGTCTATCAATTCAATGAGAAAGAAGAATCAGATTAGTTTACCCACGTCAAATCATGACATTGGTAGTAGCTTTATTTCATTCAAAATAGAATGAAGTGATAAAAAATGTTCAGCTTTTATCCATTGTAAGTACTATCGTGATGTGTATAGTTTAGTTGGTAATGAAAGGCATATATTATTCATCTTTATTTTTACATTGATTAATATATTAATTCATATTACCATTTTAACAGTTCCATATATTTAGCATCAAGTCAAGAAAAAAGTATTAACTTTAGGCTTATACATTAAACTATTATCAAATCAAATATCAATAAAAGCATAATCATAAGAAGCATAATTTATAAACTGATAGAAAGGAAAAGAGAATAAGAAAAATAAAAAGCAAAGAACTGCCCCATTACCTATGAATAGGAAAGTATCATTTGTTGAGAACCCAAAACATCAGTAAACAAATGAAACTGCTCCCCAGAAAGAAAGTGTGGGAGCTGGGGACATAGCTTAGTGGCACCACGCCTGCCTAGCAAGCACAAGGTCCTGAATTTGTTTCCCTGTACTGGGGAAAAGAAAAAAAAGCGTGGGGTGCAGAAAGAGGCCAGCAACTCAGACACTAGGGAATCTTGGCAGCTGTCCCCAAGGGAAGGCTCCAGAGTAAAGCAGGGCAGGAGAAGGTGTGTAGGTTATAGAGCCCCAGTTACAAAGGGAGAGAGCAAGAAAGACTCAAATATTACCTGGGACAAGCTGTTTTTTCCTACCTGAAAATCTACAGAGCAACAACTTGGGCCCATTGAGTCTCTGAGTGATCTGTTAGGAGGAGGAGGAGGTCTTGGCCATTGGAGACAGTGGGTTCAGCCCTGCCATTGCTCTGCCCATTCCCAGCAATGGAGAACTTCACCTGCCCTCACTCTACACCAGGGAACTCTAGGCTAGTAATTGTCTCATGTAGTGAAGGCTTGGAGCCAGGGAGCACCAGCAGGGTTTGAGGGACCAGAGTCTGCTCTTAGTCCCTGCTCCCACCCCCCATCTACACCTGACCTTAAGAAGTGAGCAAGATGGTCCCTTGCCTCTGTAAAGACATTCCAAGCATGCCCTGCTTAATCTTGTACAACCATCAGGTGGGCCTGGGATATGGGATTTGACCAAGGAATTGGTGATTCTCTGAATGCAAAGAATCTAGCTGAGGCCTGCCAGGCTGAAAGTTAGAACTGGACATAAATGAATTCAATAAGTTGCTGGGACTGCCCTTTGAGGACATGGGACTCCTGGGACATGACTAATAAAAAGAACTACAAAAAGAATTACTAAGCAGCCCGGTGATTTAGCTCAGTGGTTCCAGCGCCTGCCTCAAAACCACAAGGTCCCGAGTTCGATCCCCAGTACCAAAAAAAAAAAAAAAAGAATTACTAAGCACTGTGTACCAGGCACCAAGCAAGGCAGAAACTGTATTTACAGTGATGCCTAGGTAGTGAGGTCATTGCCTCCAGGACAAGCAAAAGCTGCAGCCCAGATGACAGGCTGCAGGAATTCCTAGAAGTTATGTTATGTTCACTCCTCCTCCCAGTCCTGCCTTATCACAGGAGTTCAGATTGCCTAGACACTGAGAACCACAGTGATATCACACATACTCCAAAGCTGGTGATTCTCTGGAACAAATACCATCATTGCATAAGAATAGAAAGCCTTGAAACTCCTTCAGCAAAATGCATCATCAGAAGACCTGAGTACCTTTTTCCTCCCAGACTCTAAGAGTTAGCAGAATACTGAGCCAAGTTGTTTGAGGAAGAAACAAAATAAACCACAAGAGTCAAGTGATGAGGGACATGTTCAAATTGCACTTTCCCGTGATAATAGCAAGGAGCCCTCGATACCCTCAAATGTTTCACTGACACAATCAATCTTTGCAATAACACTATGATGTAAACATCCAATCTCCTTAGTGTACGCTCTCCACCCTATCAGAGTAATACACTATTATGGCTAAGTGTGGTGGAGCATGCCTGTAATCCCAGAAGTGTTACTCATTGGCTGAGGATTTCTTGGCTCAATACAGATAAATATCACACACTGGCAAAGTACAACCCTTTTAGTATTAGTAGCTGCAAGCTTCACATTGCAGAGCCTCTCATTTCTCAGTTTTATAGCTCTTAGTGTAACCCTGTACCCTGAGCGTTAGCAGGTCCTAGTGGCTCTCAGCTCTGGAAGCTTTCTTGAACTTCCAGCTCCTCTCTAGAGTTCTTCTGCTCCTCTGTGGAGCTCTTTACAAGATGGCTTCAAGTCTGTCATTACTCTGCTGTTAGCTCTCTTCTACTCTCTGGAGTTCTTCAACAGCTCTCTGGCTGCTAAGCACATTGAGGGTGAACAACCATTAGTGTTACCAGTTTTTACTTTAGTGCAACCAGCTCAGCCCACTCTGCCCAAGTCAAATCACATAGGCTATAAGACAATCAAAGCTAGGCTTTATTGGTGCCTATGCTACAGGACTGGGGGCACTACACACGAGAGCCCTTTTGGACTGATCTCACTGCTTATGTACACAAGGGGGAGGCCAACAGGCAGTCTCCTGCATCTTAGTGATTATTTGAGAACTGCAGGAGTGGTGACAGAGAGAGTGAAGTTATCTTGTCATCTGAGGTGGTGCTGAGTCTTCAGCAGCTGCCATAGCTGAAGTGAAGTCTTCTGGACACCTGATACAGCCATGGACAGAGCAGAGATTCCTAAAGCAGCCCAGAGGTGGCTAGAACAGCCTCAGCAGCCATGATGGCAGCCCAGAGCAACTGTGAAAAAAAGCTGCTGTTTGATTGTCAGCTCCCACCTGTTCCAGGGGGCCAACTTCGTTACTGACAAAGCTTTCAAAGAGTTTCTAAGAACTGTAGTAGTGTTGATTGTACCAGCAGAGTTTAGGGACTTTGGGGATAGTGGCACTAGTCCTCTATTTAATTTCAGTGCCTGTGCTATGAGAGGTGAACCTCTGCAGGAATGCACTAGCAGCCAAGTGTGGGGCAATGGCATTGGGGCTGTCACTGGTTCACAGGTACTATCAGAGTTGCAGGAGGAGCTGTGAGCCTAGCGAGT